CGGGGGGCAGGCCAGGCTGGCCGAGCCAGCCGTGACCCTGGAAACCACTAAGCAAGTTAGATTTAAAACCACAGTAACAACATCCGTTTCTGCAAAAGCTATAAATACCTGGCAAGGAGTTACTAGGCCGCGATGAAGAAAAACGAGAACCGAGGAGGTGAGCGAGTCTGGCATTTGCTTTTTTCCTGGGGGAGGGAGAGGGGTCTAAACGCTGCGAACCTCCAAGGGTGCCGCGCGTTCGGGGCACGAAGACAGGCTTCAGACGGGGCGCTGCCGCGGCTGGCGGGTCCCCTCGCCGCCCTCGGAGAGAAAGGTCGCCTGTCGCCCGCTCCGAACGTCGCCCGACCGGCAGGACTCCACGGTCCCAGCGGGAAGATCACCTACCACCCACTGTGACCTTGTGGACCTGTGACCTTGACGGTCGACTCCGTGGGTGTGCGGGGCGGACAGAGGGGGTGGAAACGACCTTGAGCGGAGCATCCCGCCAGCTCGAGGCTCCTATCTCTCATCCTGTAAAAATTTAGGCCAATTGAACATGCCCGGCTATTAATTTTGATGATTACGGAGTGGAGATAAAAATGAGAGGCTCGGGTGGCCGTGGCCTTTGAAGATAATCTCTCGCTCGCTCTCCCCAGCTTCAGTCTTATCCGCTCTCTCCAAATACAACAGCTAATTTCATTACCGACAGGTCTTTTAAGGATCCCCGGGGACCCAAACTAAGAACATATTGTCAATAGCGGGGAGACGGACTGCCCTTCCGAAGCCATGAAGCCATGAATATTTCGCAGGACACGGCAATACCTGTGAAATATGTTCTCACCGAGGCTACTATAGTGTTTGATGAATCTCCATCCGTAACACTGGTGTCCAACTGATATGAATATTTATGGGGCCGAGGCGGGGAGATAAGGCCTGTCTGGAAACCTCTGGCAGAATGGGTTTCCTGGCTCTTCCTCCCGCCTTGGAAACCGAGCGGAGACCTCGGCCGGCTCCTCCCAGGGACAAGGGCCAACCTGCCGCAGATTCAGGACCCGCTGCTGCTGGGGAGCAGGTGGGGGGACACTCGGGTGTCCTGCCATCTCGGCCGCCACCTGGCTCTGAGTGAACCGGCTTCCACGCTGTGAGACAACGCGGCTCTTGGGCGCCTTTTAAACAGCCCGGGAAAGGAGTTTCTCCGCTGGGGGAACAGCAGTGGGGTGGGGCGGGGGTGGGGCATCAGACTCGCGTCCTGTGGACAGCGGCGGTCACCGCGCTGAGGGGCTGGGGAGACCGCCTCGGCCTCTGCCTTCCTAAACCGAGTCCCCGAGAGTAAAAAACCCAAGTCAGGGCGGCGTCCCCAAGGGCCCAGCTGGCCTGTCCCTCCTCGAGCGCCCGGCCACCCGCCCTTCAAAGGTAGCCGGTCCTGGGACTTGGACCCCATCCTGGGCCATCTCCAGTGGGGCCCCGGGTGTGGAAATGGAGAGAGACTTCTTCTTTGTCGCATTTCCAATCAACGAAGGATACACCGTCCTTTCAGAAAAGAGGGCTGAGCCTTCAGATATGCAGATGGCTGAGCTGAATTGTAAATGCAGAATCACTTATCCTGCACACTCCGGAGTCCGCCGCTGCGAGAATTATTCCTGGAAGCTCGGCGGCCGGGCTTGCAGACGTACGTCCCAGGGCGAGGCCAGCCCTGGTCCGATCCCCCCAGGGAGACACATCAGGGGTGTTCACCGCAGGGGGCAGGGTCCTTGCATTTCGTCTCCCCCAACCTCAAAGGTCTAGGTCTGCCCGGCACCACCTCGGCGTCCGGGAAGCGGCCGCGGCTGCTCTGACT